TGTGTTAGTTCTAATAGACTGTTTTGTTAGGTCTATTGTCTGCTTTGTTAGTTCTATTGTATGTTTTGTTAGTTCTATTGTCTATTGTCTGTTCTGTTAGTTCTAATGCTCAGTGTGTTAGTTGTGTTAGTTATTTTATTAGTTCTATTAACGCTCTTGTTAGTTTTAATGAGAGTTAGTTCCATTAACGCTCAGTGTGTTAATTCTATTGTCTGTTTTGATAGTTCTAATTGACTGTTTTGTTAGGTCTATTGTCTGTTTTGTTAGTTCTATTGTCTGTTTTGATAGTTCTAATTGACTGTTTTGTTAGGTCTATTGTCTGCTTTGTTAGTTCTATTGTCTGTTTTGTTAGTTCTAATAGACTGTTTTGTTAGGTCTATTGTCTGTTTTGTTAGTTCTATTGTCTGTTTTGATAGTTCTAATTGACTGTTTTGTTAGTTCTAATAGACTGTTTTGTTAGGTCTATTGTCTGTTTTGTTAGTTCTATTGTCTATTTTGATAGTTCTAATTGACTGTTTTGTTAGGTTTATTGTCTGCTTTGTTAGTTCTATTGTCTGTTTTGTTAGTTCTAATAGACTGTTTTGTTAGGTCTATTGTCTGTTTTGTTAGTTCTAATTGACTGTTTTGTTAGGTCTATTGTTTGCTTTGTTAGTTCTATTGTCTGTTTTGTTAGTTCTAATAGACTGTTTTATTAGGTCTATTGTCTGTTTTGTTAGGTCTGTTGTCTGTTGTGTTAGTTCTAATAGACTGTTTTGTTAGGTCTATTGTCTGCTTTGTTAGTTCTATTGTCTGTTTTGTTAGTTCTATTGTCTATTGTCTGTTCTGTTAGTTCTAATGCTCAGTGTGTTAGTTGTGTTAGTTATTTTGTTAGTTCTATTAACGCTCTTGTTAGTTGTAATGAGAGTTAGTTCCATTAACGCTCAGTGTGTTAGTTCTATGTGTTTTCGTATTAGTTCTAATGCTCAGTGTGTTAGTTCTATACAGTGGCATGATAGTTCTAATGTGTAGCATGTTAGTTCTATTAGGTATAATGTCTGTTTTGTTAGTTCTATTGTCTGTTTTGTTAGGTCTATTGTCTGTTTTGTTAGTTCTATTGACTATTTTGTTAGTTCTATTAGGTACAATGTCTGTTTTGTTAGTTCTATTGTGTTAGTTCTAATGCTCAGTGTGTTATTTAAAGGCGTCAACCGTCATAAACCAGTCACAGAATTGGTAGACATCCCTTTTCATAAACATAATGCTTGCGCATGCATGTTTGCAAGGGACACGGGTTACATCCCACCCACGGCAAGTGCATGTTTTATTGTCTAGATCCACTTGACAAGATCTATGGGATTGTACTTCAAATAAGCCTGTGTGGGACTGACGAACCTCCAACGGGCGTCCATTGTCCATGTTCTCATTGAGGGCAATTTCAGCTTTGGGGCAAAGAACTTGATTCCAACTTTCAGCCATGACTCGTCGCTCATTCATACGCACCATGATATGTTTACGAATATGCTCTATCAGTTGGAGTATCCGTAGAAGCCTTGCCTCATGAATCCATTTGTTGAATGACTCTGCAACATTTGATGTAACGTGACCATATCTAAACATAGACAGTGTTAGTTCTATCTACTTCTATTAGTTATATGTAAGGTAATCAAATGAAATATTACTTGCCTAACTCCAGGAAAAAACGCATTGGCCCAGTTTTCTGGAGCATAGTTCATCACAATATTGTATGCACGCTCGTCAATTAGTCTGATGTCGTCCATATAATCATTCCATTCTGCTCTAGTATATTTGTAACAGGCAGATTGCAGTAGATTACCCAAGATCTGAGAATCCTTTGACTTGAATCCCAAATCCTTCAACTTTGTTCTGAAGTTCTCGACCAGATGCAGCACACAGCGAGAGTGTATAGAATCGGGAAAAAATTCTCTAACTGCTTCTCTGATCCCTTTATCCGCATCTGAAATTATCACTAGCTTATGTGGAGGGTTGTATGGATCTGCCCTTTCATAGAGAATGGACCACAGACCTACAAAGAGTATTGGTTAACAACCCTTAAAGTTAACTACGAAGGAGATAGAGTTTCTGAAGTGTTAGTTCTGTCAGGTGTTGTGTTAGTTCTATGATCTGTTTTGTTAGTTCTATTGTCTGTTGTGTTAGTTCTGTACAGTGTCATGTTAGTTCTAATGTGCAGAGTGTCAGTTCTATTGTCTATTGTGTTAGTTCTGTTATTGATAGTGTTAGTTCTATTGTCTGTTGTGTTAGTTCTAATATTGATAGTATTAGTCCTAGTGTCTGGCGTGGTAGTTCTATCCACCTAAGTTTTAGATCTAATGTGCAGCGTGATAGTTCTATTTGTTCATTTTTAATAGCTGCATTTGATTGTGGTGTGGTTAACAGCCCTTAAAGTTAACTACGAAGGAGATAGAATTAACATTATAATGTTGGAACTAACCTTGTAGGAACCACTTCCAGTTAACATTATTTTCTTGATCGCAGATACAATAGGCCAATGGAAATATCCCCTGATTGCCATCATATGCCACGGCGCTTAATAGTATACCTTTGAATCGATCTTTCAGAAAGGTTCCATCCAAAAATATAAGTGGTCTGCAACCTTGTAAAAAACCATTTATGCAGGCCGCATAGCAGATGAATATCCTTGTAAACCTACCCTCGTCTTGTTCAACATGAATGTAGCTTCCCGGATTTGTCTTCTTAACCTCGTCTACATACCTAGATAATTGAAGATTAAGCGTTAGTTTCAACATTATAAAGTTATGAGACTTATAGCGTCATATAAATGAAAACAACAGCAACTTGTGTATATATGATCTTCTGATTTACCATCTCAATTGATCGTAGGACTCATAAGCATCACCATATAATCGCTCTTGAGCTCTTTCTTTACCCCACCAAATCTTACTATATTCAACCCTAATCCCATATGAACTTAGAAACTCCTTCTGAACGTCAATAGGTCGTATATCCGGACGTACCTTCAACGTGGGTTGTAATTGGGTAGCAATGAAATGACGAGAGGCTCTAGATTGACCTGCATTATTGGCATGTTGTCCACAGTTGTGAATGTCCACGAACCTTTTTATTTCAAGTCTATTATCATTTTTCGGCGGAGAGGCAAATAACATCCATGGGCAATTTTTGGCTACCTTAAACCGGCAAAAAACTCGAATACGCTTTGGTTCATTCTTCACAAACTCATATTCGAATTTTTTGGCCATGGAGTAGTATAGCAAGGCCAATCTTAACTCCTTCGCACTTTCAAAATGTTGCCCCTCCCCAGTTAACGCAGTGTGCCACCAGGCAGGAATCCTCTCAGATCTGCTAATCATGTCATCAATCATCATAACATTATCTCTTGAAGGAATGTCATTGGGATTCTTATCTGCAACAGTTGTGGACGACAACTCCGGCGGGCCACAGTCTATACTTTTCGAGTTTAGACTTCTGGAAGCGCTACAAATATTAACAACAGGAAAATAGTTAATCATAAACTACACAAATAAAAGTGTTGATAGGGGTCTAACACGCTTTAGAGTAGCTCTACCCCATATGGAACTGGTGATAGAACTAACATACAATCGTGTAGAAGTAACAAAATAGCTACTAGAACTAACAGAAACCCCTATATGTATTAATAGAACTAACATGCATGCATTCGTGTAGAACTAAGAACTAAGATGCATGCAATCGTGTAGAACTAACAAAATAGCGATTATAACTAACAAAATAGCCATTAGAACTAACAAAATAGCGATTAGAACTAACAAAATAGCCATTAGAACTAACAAAATAGCGATTAGAACTAACAAAATAGCCATTAGAACTAACAAAAACCCGTTCAGCAACAACACGTTGATTAGAACTAACAGGTCAACGATTACAACTAACATATTGTTGAAATGCATCTGAAATCCAGTTTAACATTCAACATAGACAAAAAGAAGACGATTAGCACTAGCGTTCGTTTACTTCGCAGTTAACCTACATGTCTTGTGGGACTTGCTCTTTGCAAGGTTGGACTCGCTCATTGCAGTGTATATTCTGCAAATCATCAGCTTTCATGTGAACCTCTTTCAGTCCAAGATTGTGGCAATGCTCCACCATAGACATCATGTCCCCCTCGTTCTCAATAGGAAATTTCAAGCTTCCAGCTGTTTCATCTTCGTATGACAGAATTAATGACTCATATGGAATACCTAACCTCTCTGCCACATCAAATTTAAGATCCAGGATGGTGGTTGAGGAGTTAATCTTCAAAAATAACGCATTGTACCCCGAAGAGACAATGCAAATGATGTCCTTCTCAGCCATTTTGAAGAGAAGGTAAGATTAATGGCGCGAGTAAAGGAGAGAATTTTGGTCTGAGGAGAAGTAATGGATAACTAAATAGTTATTGCTCATGATGAGAAAAAAAGGGGGGAAATTTCTCTCCATTTCTTCCATCTTATCGCATTAAAGAGGAGTGTCTACTGTTAAGGGACGGCGCCTCGTCTGGGGAAGAAGGAGAATGGCAGTATCACCTTTTTTGAAAAAAAATACAATCTGCTTTTGTACAACGCTGACGTGGAGGGGGCTTAAAATATTAGTCTTCACTTTTTAGGGCTAATACACATAGGCCGAAATACGAGGGGGCTTGTCACATGAAGTTCCTCATTTGGGGGCCTGGACACAATTTTCCCTTATATCTATATACATAGTTGTTCAGACCTTTTATTTACATCCGTTCGAGGTTGGAGATGTATCTAATTTGACAATTGACATTTAAAGCAATACTCATCCACAATTGTCATTCTAGGACTTGCCAATCACCCTAAAGTAAAGGGGTTTTTTTGCAATTTGCCCGCGAAAAGCTCACCTCCTCTTCCGATCCTCGACCAGAGCTCCACATTCAACGACTCTCGCGATCTTCTTTCCATTCACTCCTCTCCTTCGTAGAGAGAGAGAGAGAGAGAAGAGAGAGGAGCTTGCTAGATCCAGATCCAATGGATCCGCGATTGCACGCGACTCGCAGGGACTGTCCGCCGGCGGCCGCCGTGGCATCGCCGCGACCTACCTTCCCCCTCGCCGGCGCCGCCCACCAACCCTACGTCTCCGAGCTCCTCTCCTTCACCCTCGATCGCCTCCACAAGGTAATCCACCGTCTTCCCTCTCTCTAGATCTCTGCGAACCCTAGATCCGATCCGACCCGGTCTCGCTTGCCCCCAATTGCAGGAGCCGGAGCTTCTCCGCGTCGATGCGGAGAGGATCAGGAGGCAGATGCAAGAAGTCGCGGTCGGGAACTACAGGGCCTTCATCGCTGCTTCTGACGCCCTCTCTTTCGTTCAAGAGCAGCTCACTGGCTTCGACAAGCACTTAGAATCGCTGGTAATCTCAATCCTAGGGTTTGTGGGTTTCACGTTGTTGTGGTAGGGGGTCAAGAGTTGATCTTTTTCGTGTGGATGTAGATAACTGAGATCCCGAATCTGACGACGGGTTGCACTGAGTTCCTCGAATCGGCGCAGCAGATTTTGGAGGAGAGGAAGCTGAATCAGACGTTGCTGGCAAATCATAGTACTTTGCTCGACTTGCTTGAAGTTCCGCAGCTAATGGACACGTGAGTGATTGATAGGGTTTATGAATTAGGGAATTGACATACATTCGAAACAGAAGTTGAAAGATCGTATCTTTGTATTAACATGTTGCACCTTGATATCCTTTTCCCCCTTATGAAACTCATTTTCAGGTGTTTTATTTGTCCTCTATTCTTCTGAAAGACTAAATTCATCCTAAGAGCTATTTGCGTAGTCTTACTATTCGTCTCTTTAAGCTTGAGAGTTCTATCCTTGTGAACTGTTCTCTTACCCGCATTGCATGCGTGTGTAGAAGGTGTTCAGCATTCTAGATTTCTTGAGGCTACCATGATGTTAGATTATTCGTGATTTTTCTTTTGTCTAATATTTATCGTTTCCCCTAAACATTTCCATTCTTCTGGTTGAGCTTTTAAGAACATTACTTGAATGATTAGACTAACTTTTCCTACTTCTGCAGATGTATACGTAATGGAAATTATGATGAGGCCCTTGATTTAGAAGCTTTTGTGTCCAAACTGTCAAAAATGCATCCCGAGTAAGTAGTTGTTATCTTCTGAGAGAAAATTCCAATGATTTGTTCTAATTAATATGTTTCAAACCATGTGACAATATCTAGCCTTGATTTTTGGAATCAAGCTTACCTGTCATCCAGGCACTGGCAGCAGAAGTAAGACAGACAGCACAGTCTCTTCTCTCTCAGCTTCTTCATAGACTTCGGACGAATATACAGGTAGCCTATAGTATATTAGGTGCTGTTAACATTAACTTGCTTCAAATGTAGAGAAGTAATATAAAAACCACCCTTCAATGATAGGGAGTTACTCTTTTCCATTTTTCTACATGAGTTGGTTTTGGTTTTGAAAATGTTAAGGTTGTTGCAGCCAGTATGAGTCACCTTCTCCATCAAATCACTTAAGATTTAGGCCAAATATTTTCTTTTGTTTTGTATCTGTAGTACATACTTAAAGTTTACTACTGGTTGCAGTTGCCTGAATGCCTTCGTATTGTTGCTCACTTACGGCGCATAGGGGTATTCAGTGAATCGGAGATGCGTTTACAGGTGTGCTCTCTCTGTTTATGCTTACTATTTTGTCTGTTTGTTTTCACTATTTCATTTATATATTTTTTTGGGAGTTGGACTGAAACTTTCTTTCTTTATGACCAATTAAAGTAAAAACTCTTGTAGCTACTAGAGCTTCTTTTATATATTCTGTGTGGACCCTTTATGATGTCTTCCTTCTCAGTATCATATCTGCTAAGCTATGTAGCACGGACACGGATCCGACACGGCCATCCGACACGCCGACACGAGGCAAATCCTAAAAAATACATAGGATACGTGTGTTCGACACGTGTGTCCGACACGGACACGACACGACACGGCTTCATGTTATGCGTGTCCGTGCTTCATAGCTGCTAAGTAAACATATCAGTTCACAACGAATCACATTTTAGACCGACCCAGTTAAGCTCTAAGACGATATTTTGCCATGAATTGCATGAAATTGATAAAGTCATAGATGACAATATATGAGTACCAACAACTGTAATTGTAGTTATCTTAGAGTAAAATCTACATGGGAGTCCCTGAAGGTCCGTGTCAACTCTTGTCCCGCAATGTTTTCTTCTTGACACCATGTCCTGAGTGCTTTCATCTGTCGCTGTTGCTATATATGTTACCTTATTTGTCGAGTGCATTTTGTTTTTCCTTGGATGAGATACTTTCTTTGCTGACTTCCGTTGGGATAGGACTTCCATTTCTGGGTCATAATCAGAAGTCAGAAATTTTTTAAGGCATGTATTTCTAGGATTGAATTCAATTAGATTAAGTTAACCCACACTTACTATAGCTTACTCTTTTTTTTATTGTTATGAAGTGTGCGTTCTAGAAATATTCTTCAGTAATGGAATGGGTTCCCTAGACCGCATTATGTTGTTTTTCCCCCTTTTGCATGTTGACGTCATAAATCTTCTAATTTAGTTAATGAAATATTCTTGTGGCTTTTTCTATGATTTAATTTAAATGCACTTCTAACTCTAGATCTATGCTATTGGCAGTTCTTGAGGTGCAGAGAAGCATGGCTTTCTGGCATTCTTGATGACTTGGATCAAAGAAATGTCTACGATTATTTGAAAGGGATGGTAAATTCTCACAGGATGCATCTCTTCGATATTGTCAATCAATACCGTGCCATATTCAGCAATGATAAATCGGGGAGTGAAGAGAACTCTGACGGTGGACTTCTTTTCAGTTGGGCTATGCATCAAATTGAAAATCACTTGACTACTCTAGAGGTCATGCTTCCCAAGATTACAGAAGGTGGATCTCTGTCAAACATCCTTGATCAGTGCATGGTAAGATTATCTCAACGTCTTCTTTAAACCTTTTGCATTTTTGGATCACTAACTCCAAGACTGCAAGAAATGTTCTCATATGTTTTAAGTAGTTGGTTTCTCCTGTTTTTACGTTTAGACAATTGTGTTTTCTAGTTAGGTTTTTCCTTTCGTGTGCATGTTGTAGATACGGGTTGACATGTTATATTTTTTTTATCCAAGCCTTGCAACTCTTAAGTTGATTTGAATTTAAAAAGATTCATTCTAGTATGGTCTCACTTGCTCTGATCCGCACATTCCCTACTTTCTTTCTTTCTTTCCTTCCTCCTTTTTTTTGGGTAGTCTTGGTCTGCACCTTCCTGTTATACTAACCTTGTTATTGTTGTTATGTCAATGTGTGGTATGCATATGTATTCTCTAAGTAAGATAAAAGATTTTAGTATATCAATCATCTCAACTTCTGATATACTCTTCTTAGATCAAAGCTAGTTAGATGTGCCAATATTGTGTGATTGTGAGTTTTAGCTTCATCACCTGCATAAGTCTTCTTGGCGGCATGTAATTTATTTAGGACATATTTTCTTTCAGCGAATATGCTCCTGATTTGCCTGTAAAATCGGCGAATATGCTCCTGTTGACTGTAAATTCAGTATTTTTCTGTTGTCTGCAGTATTGTGCAATGGGTCTTGGTTTGGTTGGGTTGGATTTCCGAGGCCTGCTTCCGCCGCTTTTTGAAGAGTAATTGAATATTTTTTGTTTTACTTTGCTCCATTCATCACTTACAACTGTTAATCTTGTTGCCTAACTGACGTTGTTTGATCTTTCCAGTGCAGTTCTTAATCTATTCTCAAAAAATTTGAGGACGGCAGTTGAAAATTTTCAGGTATATGTTTGTGAAATTCATCTGCATGACCTCCATTGAATATTACCCAACTCACTGTCTAACCTCTACCCTTTTTCCTGACGCTTTAGCATAAAATTGGATTTTAAAGATTCTTGTCATTTTCTTCTATATCCAACATTTTACTTGGTTAGTGTGTAGCAGATACATTTTTACCAAAATAAGATGATAAAATTTCTGAACCTACAGCATATTTTAGCTCGTCGATAAAAAGTTCTGTTTTTGCCTGTTGCTCTTGGTTATGATGATGATATATGCTTTTGCGGCTCTATTATAGGTGGTCTTAGATTCACATCGGTGGGTTCCTTTACCATCTGTAGGCTTTACGACCAATGGTGCAATTGATGAAAACCAGGATGATGTGACTCCACCTTCTGTTTTGATGGAGCATCCGCCTATTGCAGTATTTGTTAATGGTGAGCATCCTATGAGTTTGTTATTATAGTACGATGGATATTATAATGACTACCTACACTGTGGAAGTTTAGTGGCTTGCATTTGATGATACGTGATTCATAAAGGCTACTAATATTATGTAGTTATGTGGCGTAAATCTGCCCACAATATGAGGACGTACTCTTGCACATATCTTATGGCTAAGAGTCTCATACTTGATTACTTTCTTTTTGAACACTTAGGTCTTATATTTGAGTAAATAGATCTTACAACCTGCTAGTACTAATAAGGACAGCTAGGAAAACAACATCACAAATAAAAATGGTGTGATCTATTACACTAAGAAATCTGAATATATCGTATGATTTTTCCTGATTAAGAATTGAGCTACAATGGGTGAGCTTTCATGAGAAATCTCAGTTCAACATTAGAATTCATATTGCATAAAAGGTTGTCTAAGAAATGATCTTTCACATCCAAGGACGAAGCTTGCCTAGTTTCATATGTTTGTCCTTTGAATGGATTAGTTAGCTGAAAAGACTGATGGTACTAAAAGTAATATTCTGATTCAAGGATAAACTTGGAGAAAAGAAACTGATCATGGCCTCTCAAGGACCATGGACCATGGCCTCTCAAGGGCCATCCTTTGCAATGGACCATGGCCTCTCAAGGATTTTGCCATGGACAATATTTTTACTTACTAACGATGAATGAAATGATTTGGAGAAAGAAGAAAGATCTTTTTTTGGTCTTATTGGGACTAGATAACGTTTAAAATTTTAAAATAAGATCCACTAAGGAGATTATAAGATTGTACAGTGTGGTTTTGAAAAGAAATAAATTAGTTATTGTATGTTAATGTTTAAGGACATGAATAATGGAGGAGCATCTCAGTTTGAGAACAACCAGATAAGGATGGAATTTCTTGCTCTCTTATAAAATATTCAGCATTAAGTGCACTAATTGCCAGTGAAATTAACTTTGTAGGCATATCTAATCCAATAGGGAACGTGAAAATGATATTGGTGGAGAATAATAGTAGATGAGTCTGGATTTCACAAATTGGAGTTGAGGGTAAAATTTGAAATCTAGCTTTTTGGACTTTAAAATCGAGCCCAAAATGAGTGTCCAAACACGGGATTTGGATTTGGGCTGTGTGCTGGATTTTAGATCCAAGCCCAAATCCATGATCCCAAACATAGCCTGAGCAACCAATGTCATCAAATGATTGCAAGCAATTAGTGTTTAAAAACAAACCATTTTAGCATACAACTCATCTTTATGCGTATAACGAACCTTCTTTAACCAATGCCGTCTTTGATGATGTTTGTCAAGCTTCTATTCGGTATATTCCTCACAACCATAACTGTCAAATATTGCCCCTTCGTAATTCAGAACAACTGTTACATTTTCTTTACGATACCATTTCCAGGTGTTTCAGCAGCTATGAATGAACTACGACCTTGTGCCCCATTAAGCTTGAAGAACATTTTGGCTCAAGAGGTTGTTAAGGGATTACAGGCCGTTTCTGACTCTTTAATTAGATACAACGCCATCAGGGTGCTCCGAGGAAACGAGTCAACTCTCTTCCTTTCCCTCTGTCAAGCATTTATTGAGGTAACTTTTTTTTTTAGGTAAACTGCTCTTATTACTTTCAACCCATCCTAATCTGAGAAGAGGATAATATAACATATATTAATAGTTACCCCAAACATGTCATATGCGAAGCATGTGTTGACTTGAACAAAATAGCGAAACAAGTTCAGGGGTTTTTCTCTAATTTACAAAGTTTTGTGTGGTGTAGTGCAGAAGACCCCAAAGTTAAGTTTAGGGAGGTTTTGTGGAATTTACCCGTTTATAAGAAATGATTTTGGCTTCTTCTCTCCTGAAACTTTTGCCCTATTTATATATAGTTTTGCAACTTTTTCAGGTGGCATATCCATATTGTGCAAATTGCTTTGGCCGTTGTTACCCCAATGGAGCTGCTTTGATCATAGAATCTAAAAGTGCTTTTGATGGCGTAAGCCAACTAGTTACAGTGGCTCCTGTAAGAGGACTTAAAAGCTCCGTCATGGAGAGTGTTGAGGTGAAACATACAAGTGAGAATGGAGGTGATATGGTGGTAGTAGGTAATGTAACTTCAGTTGATGATTCAGTATTGGAGAATTCTGGTACAGATCAGAAGGGCACGGAGACTAGCCGATTAGAATCTAGAAGCAGCATATAGTTCAGTTTTGAAGTGATAATTTTAGTCAAGACGTCGCGAAAGCCGAAGAATGTATTGTCGATAAATCAAGAGAGCAATGCAGCAACAAGAAAAGGATTTTGCTCTCATTTTATGGGCTCCATCTTCAGTTATGCCCACGGTGCACGTGATGTTTCGCAGTTTTACTCATGTTATACAAGCACCCTTCATCCTCAACATTATCTTCAGTCGACATCATTATTCCCATTAATTTCTTGTTCTTTAGATTTCGTCCATCTCTCGTAATTGGAGCTTATTTTATTCTGTGATAATATCCGCTCGAGGTTTTACAAGTTTCAGTCTTGTGATTGCGTTCTCTTTCCTCCCTGTATGATTTTTGTAAGTCTTTTTTTTCGCCACAGTTGACATTTCTGAACGTATACAGTCTACATGAATCTTTATCATCTTCTTACCGGTGGTCATTTCTATTTATTTCTTTTGAATAACATTCATAAAAAAGAGTTTTTTTCCCTGTGTTTGATGGTACTAATTGTATTGAAAATCTAGATACTAATGGACTGCTTTATCTCATTCCAATTTCAGGACAAAGTGGTGAGACAAATACTGATTTCAGGAAGTGAGAGAGAGAACCTGAGCTTTTGTTGTGTCGTTTGAATGCGATTTGTATTAATAAAAATTATTATGAGCGTTACCATCAAGTTGGTTTTGATTATTAGTTTGGCAACCGTGGCGTTTTTTCCGTTTCTGTTTTTGTTTTTAACAAAAACAATAAAACGCGTTAGGCAACCGGGGTGTTTTTTTGATTTGACCATTTACAAAATCCAAAAAATAAACACTTTTCTCAAAACACCAAAAAGGTGTAAAAAGGTGTTTTGAGATAC